ATCTATATTACAAAAATTCTATCATGATAATGAACTTGAATATATAATTTCATTGATCCTTATCATAATCAGTATGGAAATGTGTATCTATCTAAAAAGAAAAAAAAAAAAGAATTTAGATATGGTTTATCGATCGTGCATGATAACCAAAGTACAGTGATAAAAATGTATACCTACAACCACCTTGTTACAGTTCCATTGCATCGTTTGTGTTCGTTTCGAATGATTTTCGATTGAATCGACTTGTGTAAAATTATATATATATATATATACACATTCACAGATATACAGGCACATACATACACACACTTAACGCACACTTTAAATTAAAGTTTATTTACTATTACTTCAGAAACTCTATAGATTTTGTTTCAAATGTTATTCCTAAAAATCACATTTAATTTCGTCCCTATTCGAATCAATTATATTTTCACAACACATTTTACGATTAATATTATTAATATTAATATTGGGAATGATCAGATCGTAATTGAAATAGCGATAAAATGTATCCTCGATTTCGCGACAAGTATTTCGCGAAACGCGTGTACCGCATTCTTCCAACACGTGTCTTGGTCAATACGTACTGTCGATTGAACTCGGATCGAAGATGACATTTTCTAACATATTATCTGTCATCTATTATTCTCTTATTATTTTTAACAATTTCATTAACGAATTTAATAAATCATGCTTTGGTAAACTCTCATTTTATAAACCGTTCGATTCAACGAACCGGAATAATCCCATATCAAATCCTAACGTTAAAATCATCACAATATAATCGTCACTATTATTATTATTATTATTATTATTATTAATAATTGTTATTTCTCGCAATACGATCAATCACTTAGTTCTCACAATCCCATTTAATCGATGAACGGATATAAATTATTTCAACATACACACACACATACACAACACAACACAACACAATACTGCAAATTATTCATATTGAATATTTCACGTTAGCCGAAAGTTGTCTTCTTTAAAGTTCACCTATACTGAATAAGTTTCTATCTCTCTTTCTTTCCCTTTTTTCTTTTTCTTTCTTTCTCGTAACTCTAACCTCAAGGTCGGAAGAGGAAAGAACGATGATCGATCATCTTCTTTCGACGACGATCCGGTGGCGCGAATACGATAACGCATACTGTCACCAAATTTTTCGACATTTCGAAAAATATATTCTCCTTCCCTCCCTCTCTCTTTTTCTCTCTCTCTCTCTCTCTCACACACTTTCTCTTACTCTCTCTCTCTCTCTCTCTCTCACACACACATACACACTCTCGCGTTATCTTTCTTTATCTTAATAATATTTCAAATATAAAATATTATTGAATTTTTATTAAGGGCTGGTGGGTGAAGAAGAAGAGGGATATGTTTAATATACGATAATAATTTATTAATGTAAAAGAGAGGAAAAAAGAGAGAGAGAGAGGATCACTCGGAGGATAGAGCCTGGACCGAGCGAAAGCTCCAAGCTTACTGAAGGCAACCCACCGATGGGTGTTCTTCAAACACATCGAGCTTGCCCGGTGTGTTACGCTTTCTCTCTCACTCTAAAATACACACACACACACACATACGAGAGAGAGAGATTCTATTCTATATCTACTACTCTACCTACCCCTGAAGCTTAAACCCAAGAGACAGAGAGAGGGAGAGAGAGAGAGAGAGAGAGATAGATAGATAGAACGAGTGAGTGAGAGGAAGAATAAAGCAGGGAGGATACCGGCTTCGATCGTTCATCTGTGTTTGTGTACCTCGTGTGGGTGTTTTATGTATATGTATGAATGTGTATGTGTGTGTTAGTTCGACTCTGCGTGGAACGCGCGTGTCGAGCTTCTCTGCTGAAAGATCGATAGTGAACGGAGGAGAGCAGCACGGCTCCCCGGACACAGCAGCAGCAGCAGCATCATCAGCAGCATCAGCAGGCAACATCATCTCCATCGTCCTCCTCCCCACCGTTCTCTTATATATTTTATCTCTTTTTTATTATTTATTTTTTTTTTTTTTTTATTTTTTATTATTATATACTTATTTTCTTCCTCCTTCTGCATTACCAATACCATACAACCAATCTACTTGTTTTTTATATCTATCAATCATTAACGAAATTTTGTTTCTTTTTTCCTTTAATTTACAATCAATCCCTCCAATCGATTTTTTTTTATATAATTTTCTTGTTTTATTTATTTATTTATTTATTTGGTCTTCGTTAACGCGTACAATCGATTTGGAAGTTTTTATTCTCCCCCACTCCCCACTCCCCTTCTTTTTAGATCAGATTTAGCCGATGATTCGAAGTCTTTCTTTAAGTAGATTAGATTAGTCTCTACTTTCATTAGGAAAGGTCTTCGATCGGTTAATAAGATTATTTATAGTCTTAGGGTAGTTTTATAATGATTAGTTTCTTTCTCGTATACAAAGGGGAATGTATTTTGGTAATTCGTTTAACTGTGAGACATATCGAATCTTCTTTTTTCCGTGATTTTATCTTGAAAATTGTTTGCCAATAATAATTATCAAATCAAATCTGTGAAAGATATAATTTATATAAAATGTATCGTTTAAATTATCTCAGTGATATTATTTGTGTTCTTTTTTTTCTTATGTTTTCTTTCTCAAAATTAAACAATTTTTTCTTGTAGATAATCTCGTTAATTAATTTTCATGGGAAAAATCAAATTTGTTCAGTCTCGAAATGATTTTTATTTATTCGATAGAATTTTATTTGAAGAAAAAATATTTTACAAAAATTTTAATTAAATATACAAATCTATTGAAATTCGTCGTATTTTAATTTATATATTTCAAATAAATAAATAAGAAAAGATTTAATTATAAAGTGTTCGTTAGTAAGAAAATGTATAAGTACATTCTCTGTCAATGAATTTTTCTTTTTATATATTTCATAACGACGTTAATTAATTGTGTAATTGGGCACTAAGAAAGTGTTCATTGTTCCAAGTATCGAAAAACTCTCGTTTCGTGTTAGAAGTGTACTCCGTCATTCGATTCTAGAGGGCTGCAACCCTTAAGAGGGTCGTTTCTCGCTACTGAGCATAAAATACGACAGTCGAGTGAGCCCACGTAGGTGGACACTTTGTCAGGAACAAGGAAGAAATGAACGCCGAGGGTTTTCCTGTTTGGATCCTGGCCAAGCTGACTCTTGGAATTGGAAAATAGAGAGTCACGTCTTTTCTCTTCTAACTATGGGGATATTTGGTGTTAACAAAATAAAAAAAAAAAAAAATAAAGAAAGAAAACGAACAAATTTTTGTCACTTTTCATTAAACGGAATGGGGGAAAAAGAAAAAAACAAAAAAGAAAATAAAGAGGGGAAGAAAATTAACGCCGAAAATGAGGCCGTCCTGAGATTACATTGGGTGAGTAAAAAAAAAAAAAAAACCCCTCCCCCAAAAAAATAAGAGGGAAAGAAAATGTGATTTATTTTCTAATTTCCTAATCGCGTTGGAGATTTTGAGAAAACGTTTTTCTTTCTTTTTTTTTGTTTTTTTTTTGTTTTTGTTGTTATCTTTCAGTTGACCCAACTCCTGTTCCTCCTTCATTTTATTTTTTTCCTCTTTCATCTCGTTTTTTCTTCCTTTTCATATCCTCTCGACCGGGCTCTTCTTTCGTTTGCGATTAAAAAAAAAAAAAGAAAAACGAGGAGAAGGATCACGGTAAGAAGGGGGAGGTCTCGAAAATAAATGAGCATACTCGTGTTTCTTCTTTACTGATACGCAATGAATCAAAGAATGTTTTCTTTTTCTCAAATTGTCTCGATTTTTTTTTTTTTTTTATTTCCTTCCCTTTCTATTTCTTTTTTTTTTTTTGTTCGAACAAAGAATAATATTGGAAATTTAGATAAAACGTGAGATAGGAGATATAATAAGAAACGAAGAAATTGACTCTCACACACATACTCTTATATTAAAATAAATCAAGATATATGATATTTTCTAAATTTTTTTGTTTCTTTTTATATTTTACGGAGATACAATTAACGCGATTTCGATATTCCAAATTTGATTTTGAATAAGTCATGCGTAGCCAATGTATTTTCCACGAAGGGATTATCCCCGTCCGTTCCACGTATTCTATTATCTTTTACTTTTTTTTTTTTTTTTTTATATCTTATTTTATATCTCCTCTATTTTTTATCCACCCTAAATAAAGAGAAGACATCCATCCCTCTTGCGTTCGATAAATGTCGTCAATACACGATACACGTTATAGGTTTACTTCGACGTTCGTTTGGAGACGCGTGTTTGTGTTAGTAAAATACTAAAATTTTGTTCGCCTACGATATTGTTTTTTAATGACGATGATAAACCTTTAACGTCATTAATATATTTCATAGAATTTTATTATAAATTAAAATTGTTAAATGCAAGTCTGTTATTAATTTATACTAAAGATTAACGTACAACCAATAGATTTAGTTTCCATATAATTCATTTGTATTATTTATAAACAATATATTCTTAATTTATTATATATGACGAGATCATCGAATGTATTACAACGTCGTGTAATTTTAATAGTAATACCGTGTTAAGAATCCAAGAGATTGATGATTTTCTTCTTTTATTTTTCTTTTTTTACAGTTTTTTCTTATTTCAATTTAATTCGGTGAATGAATTTTCCAAAATGAATTTAAATAGCGTTGAATTTCTCATCAAAGATCGTCGTCCATGTTTTGAAACTTTTCGTATTTCATCAGACCCTTATGAAAAGTGTCGTAATCCTTCTCTTTATCCTCTTTCGATAAGGATCTTTTTTTTCTTAAAGCAAGAAATAAAAGTATCGGACAGTAGATTATGTTGGCAACACCTATAATCCTCATGACCCATCTAAATCCAATTTCTCTTACCAACTCTCCACCCATGATTGGTCCTTCGATAAAATAGAAAAGAAAAGAAAAGAAAAGGAAAAAAAAAACCCGCAAAGAAAAGTTTTCAATTAGGATATAACTTGTTGGAAGGAAATTTGTTCCGTTATTAAGATAAAATATTAAAAAAGTTTGTTTAAGTTTTGCAAGCATATAAGATAATCTTACCTAGAAAATAAGCAAGGCTTACTGCGACCTGTTGGATTGAATAAACAGGACCATAGTTTCCATTTTGATCAACTAAACTGGCCAACAATGGTACCAAAGCGGCATCAGCTATACCAATACCCAAACCCATTCCAAAATGTGGAAATATCAATTGCGACATGGTCAATGCTGATGGTATCAAAATGGCGCAAATGCCAACAAGGAGCATGGCCAAGATGGCGACTGTACTGCGTCCATAACGATAGGCTATCATGCCGAAAAAGTTTGTTCCTATTAAATATCCTACGCTGTCTGGTATAAAGACTGTTCCTAATTGCCATTTCTATACGGAGAAATAGGAATATTTAAATAAATATTTTGTTTTCGTAATCTTAATGTTTTCGTTTACCTTAGGTTTGATGTGGGTACGTAACCAAATTGGTAAACATGGTTCCAAGATCGCCATTGGTGACGTCGAACACCAAATTGCACCAGCGATTATTATAACAAATGGATCTGATAAAAGTTCTCTCCAATTTGTTTCATTATTAGATGACTAAAGTAATCAAAGAATTATTAATTCAAATATTGTGTGTGTCAAAGATGATACAATTAAAATCGTTTAATTAAACTTACTTCTATGTCAGTTTGAATATCCAATGTTAATATCTGTAAACCTGTTGAAGAAATAGACGAATTAAGAAGAGAAAGGATGTTATAAACTAAATTCACAAGCGTCTGATAACAAAATATATTCCTGTACATATCAAAATGACGATGAAAGAGGAGACCAACAAAAAAGGTGCCGTTTTTCCTTCCAAATCGTAAAGAACAGAACCTATTGGATATCCAAGAAGAACACCCAAGGCAATACTTCCTAGAACAAATCCCATGATCTTTGATCTTTTGTCTTCTTCAGGATATTGAGAAGCTACAAGGGACATCCCAGAGACACCGATGCATGCTGAAGATATTCCTTGTATACTTCTTGCCAAGAAAAGTATTTCATATGTTTGTCCAAATGCAAATACTGTAAGAGAGATATAAATATTTGCAAAAATTGATTGAACTATTAAAATAGAAATATTAAAATATTGAGACAACATTGTTATAATCTAATTCAATTCTAACTTGTACAAGAGAATTTTGATTAAATTTTTAATAAAACAATAATATGATGTAATATTGAATCGTCGAAAAAACTGAATTTTTAGTTAGGCAAGATCTTACAAAGTGCAGCCAATAAAAGAGAAAGATTGCCCAAAAACAGAGGTCTTGCGTATCCTAAAGCACCGGTGAAACTTCCAACAGTTGGATTTAAAATCAATTGGACGAGAGCCTTCGAACTAAGGAGAAAACCAACTCTCCCATTTTCATCTTCGATACCAGTTGTGCCATTTTTTCCATCGAGTGAACAAAGATAATCTGGGATGATCGGTACTGAAAAAAAAATCCTATTTATTTTTGTTACTTCTTCGTATAGGAATATTTTCGATAATGTGTGAAAAAATATCATCATGATGTTTGTACATTTTGTATAATGTATATATTTATATACCGAGTGTCTCATTTAACAATATGATCCAATATTATCTTATCCTTATTGGGTTTTAAAAAATACAAAATATGAATTTCATTAGTTCAGTAATTTATATCGGTAAAATTTATTGATAAAAATATTAAAATAAGGCACCCGGTATTAATAATATAATAGGACATTAATAGAACCTTTCGTATTTACCGACCACCGTAAGGAGCACGTTGTCTAAGAAGAGACTAACATACACTACTGTCACAATGATCATGCGAGACTTCTTCAAGTTATCCAGTGTCATACTGACTCACATGGATGGAATAGTAGAACTTATTCTTTATTTATTTATTTTGTTTTGGGGTGGATGGAAAGTGGTCAAGAAAATCCACAAATTTGTAACTAATTATTTTCAAGAATACATGGATAAAAATATCACAATGTTGATCGGTTTTGTACAAGTTTTATGATTCCTGAATAATCCACGATCAATTTGAAACAAGTGACACTAGTTTTGATGATCTTATTGTTTTGTTTGGTTTCTTTTTTTTTTTTAATATAAAATTGTATTATTGAATATATGGAAAAAAAATTCTTAAATTTTCTAATAAATATAAATCTCGCTTTTCGAAAGAGCATTCTAAAAGTAACTGAAAAGCCGAACACCCACGATCAAGCTTTTATACGGTCTTTCGAGCATGCTCGTCCTTGCGCAGAAGCGCTTTTTCACGTTACGTAGAGAAATACTTCGAGGATACGCGCGCACTTTCACGATCCGTTGCGCTTTTCGATTTATCACTATTATATACTTGCTTATCAAACCACACCAGCCATAATATTTTCTTACCGAGCTTTCTTATGACCCCGCCATATGTTCTGGAAAAAGTAAATCCCAATATTGATAACGTTGAAACGAAACAAGAAATTGTTCGAATACGATTTTTATTTAAAAAAAAAAAAAAAAAAGAAAACAAAAACAATATAACAAAAGATAGAAAGAAAAAATAATAATAATAATAATGATCGACGAGACGAACTTCGGTAGAAAATTAATTTTCTTTTTTTGCGAAATTTTGTTAACGAAAAATATTTCGAACGATTATTTTACGTATGACTGTAATTAAAAATGGTCAGGATTTTTGAATGCAAACTTATTGAGGAAATATTTCGAGCCCTTTGATGGAAAATATTTGGTTCTTTGTTCTTACGGCCCTGTCATCGATATTCTCTTGATGGGACACGCACCTGTGTCTCGATTGTGAAATTACGATCGACCATAATGCAATTTCAGAAGGGGAACAAATTGATTCTATACTCTGACGTATATCGGACTACGTTATCTTCTTCAATGTGGTCCATCACTCTCCTTTTCTCTCTCTCTCTCTCTCTCTCTCACACACACTCTTACACGGTCATTTCGTAACTTTCGTTAACTTCATTTCCCTATTTAAGTTTATAATTAAGTTAATGGGTTGGCTAATAAGCTTGTAATATTAAAATTTCAAATAAAAAATATATTGACGTTATTTTATTTCACGATATAAAGTAAAATAAAAATTTGTGTATAATCAAAATTATTATATATTCTTATTTATATATTTTTAAATATTAAATATTAATTAAAACAACATTTCAATATTTTACTTATTGACCAACCCAATGCACGTATTTTCTATGCAAATATTTTAAAAATATTAGGATAAATGTATTTAATAAAATATTTCAAATATTTCATGTTTATTTTACCGTAAAGAAATAATTATATGTATTAACGTTACTTTGTGAAATCTATCAATTCGTGTGTGATATATTATATGTATATATGTGTAATATATACACACACGTACATATATATACATATTAAATTAAAATCGTGTTATTCTATTAATATCCGAGTCTTCGTCTTCCTCACAAATGGTTGCTTCCGTTTGTCCTAATTTTGGACTAGCACACCTCGAAGGATACGCTTCTTCGTGTTGTCTTCGGCTTGGTGATAATCTGTTTTCCACGTAAACGTCCGTCTCGATACAATCTTTCTCCTCTAGTATCAATTTCTTTTTCTTCCGTTGACACTTTGGTAAAGCGTAACCCGAATCTATGTTGCTTCTCTCGTTCGGACTGTTTCGAGGCTAAAACATAATGCCACTACTTGAATGTTAATTATTCTGATTTGTCGCGAATACTTTGATTTCTTTTTTTTTTCTTTTTTACCCACAATAAAAAAAATTAATCATTTTAATAAATATTATTATTTATACGTTTCTCGGTGGGGAGGGGGGGGGGAATATAATTTCTATATTAATTATCAATAAAAATGTGTGTTTAACAAATTGTTCAATTTGTTTGAGTCTAACGTTTTTATTATTTTTTTTTTTTTTTTTGATTATTTAATTTAATAACTTACATCAAAATTTTCTACGTAGACACGCGGTACGCCATAAGAATTTTCAATTTCCCTCATCTCTGGACGAAAACCATAATTATTGTAACCGGGTGTCCTCCTGGGATCAGGACTTCTACAACGATTGATTGTCCTTGGATCTGGGCTTGAGCTACCGTAATAATTTGGATACAATGAGGGTGCTTGTAGATTGTTTATACTACCAATACCCATAGGATGAACGTAATCGTAGAATGCTCGGTTCTAAATTACAATCATATCAAAAGATTTAATTTAATAATTAATAGATTTTATTTAATATAAATCTAACGAATCGTTTATTAAACGTCAAACGTTTTTGAGCCAAAGATTAATACGTTAGACGATGTTTATATGAAATAAAAGAAATATAAAGGATACACCTTTTAATATAATATACTATGGGGGGAGAAAAAAAAAGAATAATCTATAAAATAATAATATTAATAATAATAATAACAACAACAACAACACATTCACACACACACACATACATACATACGCAAAGTACAATCTATAAAAGGTTCACGTGCGACAACATGCTTCTAATCTAAGTAGGAAATCTATGTGAAGCTTAGAGGGATGAGGAAGGGCGGAGGGTTGGTAGAGGGTTGGAGGTATGCGTTATACAAGGTACACGATGCAGTTCACTGAACCGTGCTTGAAAAGGCTTTGAAACAAGTCAAGTGCTAAAAGAAAGAAAGAAAGAAGGAGGAAGTAAATGAAGATTCAAGAAAGTCAGATTTCTTTTGTTTCATCAATAAATGTTTTTCCGTTATTTCAATTTCTGACCTGTCTAACTAATGCGTTTGATCTTGGATCGGCTGTTGAATCTATAACAGGATCGAATCTTGGTCCAAAATCAATTCCTCTTGTCAAATGTGTCATCATGTAATAAGTTCTTGGAATGAGAATACCAATGATGATTAAATAGGCTGTAGCTAATATACCAAAACAGACAACCGTGTCACGAATTTCCGGTTCCATCAGAATGAAACACGTCACCCAGATAGCCCAAGTAACTACCAACCCAATCACCGTTCCAAAAAAGCATTTCCCTTCGCGATAATTTCTTTGTATGTGAGCGATGAAACAACAAACGACGAATAACATTGCCAGTAAGAATATATCGTAACCTGGAATACAAAAGAAAAAATAAATAATATTGAAAATAATTTGTATATTAATGTTTATTCAATTTTAAGAATGATATTATTTATTAACAATTATTCCTTGATCTTTTTTTGATTGCAGTAATATATAATATAAGTGTAATATAAATAATATATAAAGATAATAAATATAATATAAATAATTTTTAAAGTATAAAAAATCAATTGTGCTTCTATCATTAAATGCAAGAATTTTTGTCTTTTTTTTTTTTTTKAAAATAAAAACTTCGTTTAATTCGATATACAAGAAAAATAATATAAATTTGATTGAAACGTAAGATATTTTTCATTTTTGTGATTTAACAAATGAATTTTAAAACGAGAGATTGATATTAAATAGTAAAAAGATTACCTAAAAGAGCAATAAAAGTTAGACTTCTGACAGCGATAGCAGAGTCGAGGGTGCTGAGAAAGAAGTAACTGGTCGATATGGCGATTTGTACACCGAACACGAAGAACACCATTAGCCCCTGGAGGTAACCGTTTATGTGAGTGGTAAATAGACCACCCGTTGAGAATGCTAGGAATAGGGCTCTCGACAACATCACTGAAAAGAGCAGCCCAAAGGCTAAGGTCGTAACGAATATCTTTCTCGAGTTCAAATGCTCTCGAGAATTAAACTGATCGTCGTTCATGCAAAATGGTAAAACTGTTTGCAAAGTGAATACATTTCCTAAGATCAGAAAGATCGTTAAAGTTGGATTTCCATCGAGTACATCTTCGACGAAATAACGATATAGTATGAATACGATGATAACGATGCATGCAAATGTACCGCTAACAGCAATCGTTAAAAAGATTGGTATCCAAGTTCCTGTTTTTAAGAAACTATCTTCCGGTGTACCTAGATTTATAAATAATCCGATCTGTGATATACGGAATATTTTTCTTATTTCTTATATAATAATATTTATAATAGATCTGACCAAATGTTATGTCTACTTTTAATACTAATCTTATTTTTATAGACAAATATTTTTATTTTTTTATTTCTAAATTATTTTTCACAGATTTAATAATATTATATGATATTAAGATAGGTCCTAAATTTTTAAGTTGTTCTGAAATTTAATTACTCTTTTTCGAGATTTTTTGGATTAATTTTTATCAAATTATTGAAGTGCAAGAGTTTAAAAGCTTTAAATTCAATCACAATATTTCCTATATGAATAAAAATGTACACGATACGTTTCATCTATATTTTTTTAAATATTTATAATCCAATAAAATGACAAACCTTTGGCAAAACCGTATGGATCGGTTCTCCTTTGAAAATTCGCACACTCCTCGCAATTGTTAGCAAATTTTCTCAAACAGAGTTTCGGCATTCTTGGTATCTTCTTTTCCGGTAATATTCGAAATTTATTAGGCTCAATAGTATAAGTTGCAATATCAATGAACGAGTCCTGATGATTCCTCATAGCAACGATATATTTGATCGATTGATCTTTCGGTAAAACCTGCAGGGTTTCATAAATCTCGGAATTTTTAATCTCTTGACGAATATGAGGATTGAAACGAGGCATCATGCACGATACGTTTTCTTCAGGACAATTTCTTTTTTTTAAATCATGTAAGAGCCCTGTTAATTCGAGTATAGCTTTACCAATACCTAAAATATATGGCGAATTTGTCACCGAATTAAAACTTTTTTCGGAAAACTTGTCAATTGATTGAACTTCTTGTTTAGCATCGAAATCAAAGGACACTGATTTCACGACGTACGATCCTGATGGTATCAGATCTAAACAATCCAACAAAATATTATCCTGATTTAATCAAACCCAAATTCTAATATTTATAAATAAATTTTCCATATATCAAAAAAACAAAAAAAAAACAAAAAATAAATTTAGAATCATCCCGTATGATACAATAGAATTTTGAGAATTGTAGAGAATCAAATTTGATTGAAATTTTACCATCAACATGCGACCTGTCGAGAGGTAAAACAATCCACGTTTTTCTAGGTCCTTCGAGTTTCTCTCCTTTTTCAATCGATTGTTTGATATCCTCCACATCTCCGATAACAACGATCACAGCTTCGGTAACGTTATCCTCCAATTCTTGAATATCCTTATAATTCTTTACACAAATACCCAAACTTTTAGTTGCATCAAAAAAATAATCCAATACGAAATCAGAATTGGTTAAAAGTAAATCAATAGATTCAAATCTTGTACTAATATAATGCACCATGATATTGATCAAGGGTTTTGTTAAATTTTCTTCTTTGTAAAAACTTATAGGTAAAAGACTGAAATTGGTCAAAGGTTCGAGAATATTGTTATAAATAGCTGGAACAAGGACACCCATTTCATAATGTTCAGTACAATCCATATTAACAGCAGCTTGTACAGTTTGCTTATAAACCGTGATATTTTCTTGACACGTGTCGAAAATCCTTAATCCTATAAAAATTTGTATTGATTATGTTAATCTCGTCACGTCTTTTAAAAAAAATAAAAATCATATGATAATCCTAATCCAATAAAATAATCTCTGCTTTACCTAACGTTAAATCAGACACGTATTCCAATTTGTTCAAGGTTTGGATTACGAATATTGCTGTAGACATTTCTTCGTATCCTTTGATCGATGTTACATTACAAAATGGTCCTTTGTTCAAGTCAACGAAAACTTTGCGAACGAATATAAATGTGTGGATATAATGTTAAAAATAAAAATTTTCAAAATTTATATTAATTAAATAATTGTTAGAACATTTACCCGACAACATTGCTTTTCCAGGGATTTCCAGAAGGGTTCGATTTTTTCCACATATTACTCGTTCCTCTGTTGTAAATACGACCCAGTCAAAGTTTAATATCAACAGGAACAATACGTTCATGGTCGTTAATCTTGACATCCTGATGAACATAAGTAATCAAGCGAATCATAATCGAGCGTATCAAAGTCTTTGAAGAATTTTATAGTTGAAAACATTCTCTTTTCTCCCTTTCCCCATTATTTTTCTTTCCTTTCCTTTTTTTTTTTTCTTCCTTTTCTTATTCGTTTAGTTAAATAGAAAACAAGATAAAAGGACTATTACTTGGTTAGTGAAAATCTTTCCAAGTGTTTCTTCCAACGGTCCTTCGTAATTCAATATCACAGTAGTCCATTCATCGTCGATCGATTTAGCTGGATAATTTGGAACACGAATCCTAGTCTCGTTAGATTTATCTTAAACGATTTTAGTGACGTCAAAGAAAAAAAAAGAAAAGAAGAAGAAGAAGTAGTAGAAGAAGTAGTAGAAGAAGAAGAAGAAGAATTTCTAACAGGGATAGATTATCGACGTTTCTTTTTCCCCACGTATAAAGTAATTTAATATTTAATTTTGAATCACGTCAAAAATAAATCCGACCACGAGAGTCATTTTTTTCTCGGCACAAACAATAATAATATTATATTAAATAATCATTTGTTTTTTATACAACTATCGAAAATAATACCTTGTTAAAATTTGTCGACGAGCATAACGTTAATGGGAATAATTATTATTCGATCATTCAAATAGTATTGTTCAAAATATTGTTAAGTCGAGTGTATTGTTTCGAAAACATTTAAAACACGACGAAAGAAAATTTATTTAACGAAGAAACGATACGTCTAATTGATTAACGATCTCATTCATGATGAGAAATTTTTCACTAATCACTAATGATACGTGATACTTCTTAACGATTGTTTTTTTATTTTCACGATTATTTTCAAGACCAATAGGTAGCTTCATGTCGGCGCTGATAACGTTTAGAATCTCGACTGTGATAGGAAATGTTCTAGCAACATCACCCATGGAAGCCATATTTTTACCTGGCCTAGACCCGCCAGTCTACTACCTCTTAAATGAATTATATGCCCAGCACACAGTCACGTTGACTTTCTGCAGCCATTTAAGGTGAACATAAGCTTTAATTGATTGACTTGACAGTCTCTTTTTATTTTTACTTAATATTATTGGAGATATAATACAATGCCTGGTTATAAACGACAATTGAACTTTCCCCATTAGCCAATTTATTATATTTTTCAACCATCTTGTCTCAATCTCTTATTTCATTAATCACAATCGTAGTATTATTATATTTTTATTATTTTTTTTACAAATTCTTTTTTTTTTCTTTTCTTCATTTTAATATATTTCTAATATTTTTATTCGTAGTTTATTGTTTTATTATATTTATTAAGATCGTTATTCAAATTTTCAGATATATCTAAATTTGTCAATCCATCACAAATTTTTCCCGATTATCGTATGTTAATTTTATAGTGTCAAAAAGTGATAAATAATAATAATTATTATATAATAATAAAATAACATTTGATAGTATTGATTATATAAGTTAATTATATTACATATATTCTCTTTTTGTTTTTTTTTTTTTTACATTAATTACAGTTTATACATAATACAATTATATTTATATTTATTTTATAATACGTATCCAGATTTGATTTATTTAGTTACTTGACGTTTTGTATCGGTGTAATAATGTTAAAATTATGAAAGTCGAAGTGCGTGGGTTGCTCGTAAAGACTACAAAAAACGATAAGCATAGCTCGAGTGAGCATCGAGTTAATTAGATTTTAGCCTAACGAAACTAATTTAAACGCTTAAACCTTAAACTCGTTAAAAGAGACTCCCCTCTCTCTCTCTCTCTCTCTCGTTCTCATTTACCATTTCTCTAGCAAATGCGATAAAATTCATTTTAAACCTTTTATATGATGTTCCTGCCAGGCAAAACTCACAGATTATAATGTTCTTTTTTATCCTTCCTCCTATTTCCATTTGAATCACGTTAAATGAACTGACAATGAATTATGTTTTAGTTCCAAAAATAAATCCTTTCTCTTCGTTTATATATTTTGTTTGATACGTCGACAAATTATGAAAAATAAATCTACTTTTCTAAGATCGATTGATACAAATTTTGATCTAATAATTTATAACAACAATAAAATCATAAAATAATTATAAAACAAAACTTACTATTCAATTTATCGATAAAACGTCAGAATTTCGTTTTATAAAATTTGTTTTTGATTTTTCTAATATTACATTATCATCATCGATCATAACTTATTGTTTTATTTTATTCATCGATAAGAAAAAATTGCAATATTCATTTGTAAATAATACTTTTACTTACAATGTTATTATCATATCCAAAAAAAATATGATTTTCTCTATAGTATCATTATATCGATCATAAATCATATACTTCCTTGTTAAATAATTATTATTTGTTATATAACAATTGTTCATTATAACGAACCATATTCTCTCTCTCTCGCATTCTCTCTCATTTAATTTCCTGCAAGGATACATCGATCATAGACAACTGATCGATCGATCGTTCGTCCTCGAAATGACAAAACCTAGTTAAAATGCAATTTCAATGCCGTGTTGTAAATTTGTAAATGAAACCACAATGAAATCATTCTCTGTCTGTTTCTCTTCCTTTCCAGTTCTCTCTTTCTCTCTCTCTCTTTTCAATCATTTATATCAAGGATTATGTGAATCATTCTGACAATAGATAACACATAAAACATTTTCACAAAAATTAAACGATTATAATAAACAAAAAAGGAAAAAAACGTAAAAAGGAATTAAAAAGGAATATGTAATCAGTGTAAATGCATCACATGATCGAATCATAATGTTCACTTAGTTAGTTAGTCTATTGTATATACTATAAGGAGGAATAAAGAATGTCTTTACGTCAGCTACCTATAATAGTCTAAAATAGCGTTCACTTTATGCATCGTGTATACCGATTATCGGAGTGCAAGGAATAAAGAAAAAGAGTTGGCTAGAGAGAGAGAGAGAGAGAGAGAGAGGGAGAGAGAAAGATAGACATAGATAAATAAAGTGTGTATATGAGAAAAAAAGAGTGAGAGAATAACAACGTTACCTGATCGATCGTTTGCCATGCGATAACGTCCTATTTTATATAGATTTATTCTTACAATGATTAAAAGTGTATCGTTAGGATTTCATTTTTTTTTTTTTGTTTTAAATCCAAGTAATATCATCTACGATTATAGTATTAAAGAAGAGAAGATGTTTTATACTATAATCATAAAGAAAGAATATAAAGAAGATGCGAGTGTACGAGAACAAGAAAAAAACATTGTTTAAGTAATTTTATGAATAATTTCCTATGTTCTATCCAAAATCCAAATAAATGATAATTATTTGAACTCGTTAGAATCATATCAAGGTCTTCCCATGACGCAACTGTGTACAGTTGCGAAGGTTTCTGTATAAAGCAAACGACAAATTGCTGCATTATTGTCGAATGACATTTCGCCGACCTTAAACTCCGGGTTTACGGCGACCTGTAAAATTAAAAAGAAGAAGAAGAAAAAAGAAGAAAAAGTAATTAAAAAAAGGAACAATGATGAACGAAAATATGCGATTGAAAGGAGACAACAATAAAAAAATGGATAGGACGTTTAAACGATAAATGGTAAAAGCTTTTTGCTGATTGTTGTTGATAGTCGCAATGAATCAAACGAATTCATTTTTTTCTCTCTCTCTCTGTCTCTTTTTTTCTTACTCTCTCACTCCATTTCTTTGTTCATTTTTAATACGAACGTAAGAGACCCAATTTTCTAGGGATTTAAAATATAATTGAGAAAAAAGTGGAAGGAAAAACTAATGAGATCTTTTTGTAAGAACTAAGATGAAGTCTCCCTATTATTATTATTATTATTATTATTAATATAAAATATATTATTGTATACCTTGAGTGTATATTGTCCTGGTTCCAACTCAGAAATGTCCACCCACTGACAATCAATATTATGTTTGTATATGTCGCTACAATTAACGGAGATTCCTTGATCACCGTAATTAGCACATTTGTATCTGTGAAAAAAGATGCATTAAGTGTTATTGAAATATACATTTCATATAATATTATTATTCGCGATATGTGTAAATTTGTATGAGTTAATGATTATTAAAGATATGATCTGTGATGAATATACAATTTTTGAATGATTAATTTATTGCGTAATTTATAGAATTGATAATAATATTTCGAAAAAAGAAAATATTATTTAAGCGGATGTGTGGAAGATCATTTTTGTTATATTTTAACTTTACCTTGGTTCGACTCCTGGAATACACTGATTATCCTCCAAACAAAAGGATGCTTTGTGACCCTCGGCTACTTTGTTGCCACTCAAATCGATTATGTCAAATGTAGCAAATACTTCCATAGAGTGATAATGCCTAAGTAAAATAATAATAGTTAACGTTTTTCTTAATGGATTACTTCTTCAAAAGCTTACAACTCCGAACATATCTTCTTGATCATAGATCATACTTATCAAATGATCTATTATCCATGTCTTTTTACTCATAACCAATTCAATCTTTCTACGAGTATGTTCTATACTAATGTAACAAGAAAGAAACATTGAAAAGCTAGGAAGGCCACCATTCTCAGAATTATATTTTATAAATATATATATAACATATGTCCAAATTCATCATCCCTTTAATACTTCAACCAACTACTATCTATCATGATCTTAGAGTATCGTAATACAGATCTTAGAGTAAAAGTAATACAGATGATCGATCTTACGAGATAACTTGCTATCTTAATTAATTTTTCTACTCGCTTTTATATATCACATTTTCTTCCGAGCGAAGAGTTTAAAATTGTACTTGATTAAAGTAATCTTTTTAAAATATTAACTATAATTGAATTTTTATATTATATATATATATAAAATTTTGTCTGTATATAAAGTACGATACGTCTAATTTTATTTATATGTATCATCCTTTGTATTAATTCATTAAGCCTTAGAACAAAGAATGACTATTAATAAATAATAATAATAATAATAATAATAATACTAATAATATAAAAATATAGTATATAAAACATTGATTAAAATGTCTGACTTATCAAATGAACTCACGAAATTTGCGGGAAAACAAATAATTGAAAAATTTGTATGAAAAAAATATTTTCTTCGTAAAATAATATATATAAAATGTTTAATAAAATATAAAAAAAGACACAAAACACGTATAAAAGGAGGAAGATCACGTTCGCGTTTCCTTTTATGTACATCGCGGTAGATAAAAAGAATATAGGAATACGTATATTATCGATATGGATTTATCGTAGTAGTAATTTTCCTGTCAGAAGACAGACGTCATTCGCTTATCAAAACTCACATGTGACACATGTGCCATTCCCATAAGTGTTTAGGCACGGCTGGTCGGAAGTCAGCGGTTCCTGCATTCAAGATCCTTGCGGTAAACCTCAAGAGCCTTCTGCTTTCAAAATGCCAATTATACGATTCCTTTTGAACTTTGTAAGCACTCGAGGCAACACAATTTTCTTCCATTGCACATTGTAGCCAATAAAGCTGACGATCCTCCAAATATGCCGTTCTCATTAATTCGATATGATCAAAAATTAAATCTGGCATATCTCGTGAACACACGACACCTGCCACATTCTCGTTCACACCTATTTTATATCAATCTTTTTATCATTTCTTTCTTTTTTTATTTATTTATTTATTAATTAACATAGTAATCATTTATTTAAAATGTATAAATGTTCATTCATTTTATTTACCAAAATATAGAAATACATTTTACAAAATAATTTGTAAAATATATAAATTATTTCATTATATATTTAATTATTAAATAATATTTTTTTATTTGTGATTGGGAATAATACAAAAGAAAGTATGATTTAATAATAAGAATTCCAGAGTTGTTACGTACCAGGACAATCAGGAATTTTATCGTATAAACATTCAGCCAGATTCTTTTCGTCCCCATGACACCGTACACCACTAATAGCCATGGGTATAGTCTCACCAACAAAATAGTTGCTTTGTGTTGCGTCGGAGGCGTAACCAAGTCCTAGTTGACGACAGACCACCCCTGCTTCGAATAGGGACCAGCCGTCGCCACACACGACACCCCAATCTGGAACGACAAACGCTTTTATGTATTTATGTACCTAACTGTGTACCTTACCCACCTTTTGCTACACTTTGTCAACGATCTTTCTTTATTAGATTGCCCAACAAATCATCTAAATGATAATAATAATAATAATAATAATAAAAATCAAAAGAAAATGGATATTTAATAAATATATCAATACAAATGTTATCATCATTTATTATTGTTATTATCATATATTTTTATTAAACGTTGAATTACTCCGATTATTTCTTTCAATTTTAAATATATCAGACATTTTAGAGATTTAATTACTTAATATTATTCTTCTTTAATAATAATTATTTGATTTGAGATTTATTATTAATATTATTGCGTTTAGAGATGAATTAAATCGAATCAATTTTACCAGCAATTCCAAGTTTAATTTCAAGTCTACCCTCGTTATGACCCCGACCACCAGTCAATCGTAAAGCCATGCCTTGCTGATGCACATCCTTGATCCTTGACTTTTCTTGTTTCTTTTTCAACGAGGAAGGCGGTGACAATTTTTCTTCTTCGTGAGAACATATAACACCGGCAGCTTCGTTACTATCGCAATCAGAGTTTCCCCATCCATCGAAACGACATTTGGAAAGTTCTTCTTCGGTACCATCGCAATAAATGTTATCCATCCAATATCTTCCTAAAAGGATCGATTATTCGATCTAAAATGATCTTTTTTTAAACCTAAACGATTTATTCTTTTAGTTTACTATTCAACAAATTATTTGCGATTATTAAATATGAATAAATTTTCTCATCGTTTCTCTCAAATAATTTAACAAGAATATTATTATCATCTCAGTAAATAAATAAAGATTGGTTTTTTTCTTCTTTTTTTTTTTTTTTAAATGGCTTTAGTATGTCATACTAATCTCGACTAGAAAAATAAATCATTCTAATATAAGATAAAAATGTTATTTCGAAAAGTTTAAAAATGAGGAAAAATGAAATAGAAAAAAAGAAAGATAAGAAGAAATTATCGTAGTTTCGGGTTCGAAAAAGAATGCAAGAGAAAAAGAAATAGGGGGAAGGGGTAAAAGGAAAAAAAAAGTAAAGATTTTCTCACTTCTGGCTTGTCCGAAATGACCGTTGGTCGTTGGTTTAATTGCACCGTCGAAGCCTAATTGTCTGCAAACCACATTGGCCTCCAAGTAATCCCACTCGTCGTCGCAAATACTGCCCCATTTACCCTCGTGCAATATCTCTACATTTCCTGTATAACAAGCAAACAAATAAAAAGGACAAAAATAATAAAAAAAAAAGCAAAAAAAAATTCATTCAACATTCGTAACGATCTAAATTAAACGGCTACGATATCTCAATGATATTTGAGTTTGAACATTTTCACAAAGAGAATTTCTGATAAAAGAGGGATGGGAAACACGTTGTTAATGTTCCCGGTTATTATTATTTATTATCGGAAGGATTGGAAAAGTTTATTATGTCCGGCAATAAATTCATAAATCCTATCACTTTCGATTAATATGAAAAATACACAATATTTGAATAATGTCGATACCATTTTTGTTCATTAGGTATATGTGTTAGGTATACGTAGATATAATACAGGTATTGATTATATGTAAATACATTAATTAAATTTACATATGTAAATAAATTAAATAAATGAATTAAATTATATACATATATATCTATATGCATACACGCATATCACGTAATTCGCGGTATAGTTCAAGTACGTCACGCGTTATGTGCGTAGAGTACATAGTCGTTGACATAAATCTTACTCGCGTTGACCTCTTTTTAATAAACGTTACACAACGTTTATAGTATAATATAACGAGCGATTCGTCAGCTGATAAATCTATATATTTTTATTAAACTTATAGTTCCGTGTGTTTAAGGGATACTTAAAGTCATATAACTTATGTTAGTTCTATCCACGCGCGGATTAACTTTATGGCGGGAAATTTGAAATAATGTACTATCCCTTAAAAAAATAACAAAGTTTCTTCTTGCAATAAAATTTTATTCAATTTTTGTTCGATCATCTTTGGTTTTAATTTTGTTAAAAAATATAACCTACCTTCGTAATCACCTTTCTCGCTACCAATCAATTTAATCGCCCCCTCTTGCTTCTTCAACTTTTTAAAATCTTTTTTAAGTTTCTTCACCATTCGCGCTTTTTTCGCGCGCACCGTCGCGACCATAATCGATTCATTATCGTCATTGGCTATCGCACAATGATCAAACAAAACCGACACGATCATCATCAAGATGAATAAACTTCTACCGTTTAATAAATTATTCGATCTCATCTTTCGGATCTTTTTTATTTCATTCAAATTTTTCTTACAATTCTTTCCTTTTCTACAAGTCACCCTTTTTTCTTATTGTATATTATTATTATTATCGATATGAATGAAATATGTTAATATTTCTTACAAGATTCGACATTTCGTAAAAATTTTGTGTAAAAATACACGGCAACCCTGATATTTTGTTACATTCAATGTGTCGATACATTTGATAATAATTATTTGAATTGTCATTCGGATAAGAATTAATCGGGGGGGGGGGGAAGAAAAAAAAAGAAAGAAAAGAAAGAATTGATAGTTAGAAGATCATTGTGAAGAAATGATAAATTGTTCTCAGAAATCGATGGTTCTCGCTTGGACACATTAAAAACTTTAAGCAACACGTGTATTTCGTTTACCGTTCTTCGGGCTACTGATGCGTGCACCGTCGATCACGCAATGTAATATCTTTGCTCTCTCATGTAACGCAAGATCATCGTCTACGTAACCCAATAAACGATATAGTAGAAGCTAACACTTCTCAAGAGGCGCACATGTTAGATCGTTTCTTTTTCTGTCTTTTCACAACCTCCTCCTTCTCTTCTATTTCTTCTTTTTCTTCTTACCGTTCTCTCATTCTCTCTATCTCTATCTCTTTCTTACTCTTACCAGTAATTTTTCTTAGAGTCTTGATCGGCAACGATGAAATCATTGCAATTGAAGAAATTTACCGATCAATATATTTACATTAAATAATATTAGATCTGTCTAGATTATACTGTTCGAAATAATAAGAAAAAGAAAATGGTCATATGCGTAATTTAGTTAAAATGAAAATTGACGTGTTCCTTCGTTATATCAGAAACAACATTGCCGATTTTATTACTTTTATTCTAATGAATAAATTGAACGAGTGTTGTGTTATTTAATTAAAAGAAAATATGCAAGGTGCATTATTGAACGATAATATTTTCATCAATTTATACGATCTATTTCTATTATAATATAAGGCAAAAAACAAAGAAAAATAATAGAAATATGTGAAAAATGTGAACAATTTTCTATTTCGAGTGAAACCGAGGGTCAAGTGAAAATTCGATTACCAGATTTCGTTTACGTATTTCTCTTATTTATGTTTGTTTGTTTGTTTTCTTTTTTTTTTTCTTTCTATCTATCTATCTATCTATCTATCCATTACTAGTAAAGCATAGCTATGCGCTATGTTTGACATCGTGGAAATATGCGAACCGTTGAGTCACTACCAAAGAAGGCTTTAACGTACTACGTACAACGCAACGAATTCTTCGGATAAATTCTTCGAATTCCATTGATGCATGGCCGAAGGTTTTGATAGGGATCGTCGAAGACGTTATCCGGTTGTTTCTCTAAAGCGCACAAGCATAAAAGCCGGTACAACGTTGTGGCGCCATTGTCTGTTTCCTTTGAAATTCATTATCTCGTGACTGTCTCCCTTCAAAGTGATCCACTGATATAAAGGATTCTCTTTTCTCGGAAGAACCTTTTTTTTCTTTTTTTATTTTCAACAAAATCTCTACAAGACGTTTCAATATACTTTTCCATTCATTCCTCCCCGCGCGTACTTGTAATTTATTTCAACGAAAAATTCGTTAATCTCTTATATATTTTATTTTATTCATTTAATTTTTCCTTTTTTTACCCTAAGTTCGTTAGTTTTTTTCTCGATAAATTTTTCATTCATTTATTTCTTAAATTCTTTGTTCTCCTTTTTTTCTTTTATTTTCTTTTCATCCCGCATACACTACGTCAGAGTATCGTTTCTTTTGCGAAAGTAAAATGGATAAATGATTAAAAATAGGGAGAGGGATAGAAAGAGAGAGAAAGAGAGAGAAAGAGAGAGAGAGAGAAAGCAATATGATCTCTAAGGAAAAAGATCTGGGCGTTTAGAAAGCCTCTGCGGCTGAGCAAAACGTGGTCGTTGTTATTTGATACGTAAGTCCGTATCGTTTGAAGTTTCACAATCGTTGGTTCGTCGATTCGAAAAAGGGTAATGTTGATTGAACGAAATAGAAAAAAAAGACAAAAGGAAATAAGTAAAAGAAAAAAGAAAAAAAGTGAAAAGTTAAATATAATATGATTCTAATAACTAATCGAATTTATCATTTCAAAGTGAGATGATTAATTCGAAAACAGCTACAAATTGATCTCACATGCGTAGGATTTTTTCTTGAACTTGTTCGATCGTGATCTCACGTTACTCGTCATCCACTCAACTAAGATGGCTATAAGAAAAAAAAAAAAGAGAAAGAGAGAGAGAGAGAAGAAACAACGAAGAAAAAGGAAGTATATATAATTCGTATAACAGGCCCCTTTTGACACGCTTCGTTTCGTGGCGTAACCGAAACCAACGTGTCGAAGCAATTATCGTAAGCTATTAGTATAAACGTCCCAGGGCTAAATTCTTGACATACTTCAAAAGTGAGCCTCTCAATCATAAGGGATGGAATCTTTCGAATCCATTAAAGAAGAAATTAAACGAAAAATTTGATTTCTAGATTTCTAATGGAGATTGCGAGTCCTTTGAATTATCCTAAAAAAAAAACATTTATCGACATATCAAATATCTATATCCACTTACGAATTAGAAATAGGGGAATGTGGATTATTTAGTTCCTATTTTTTTCCTTTTTGTTTCTTAAAGGTAATAAAAACATGTGGTGACGTGACGTACCCGATATATGAATTATTTATATCTAAGCTATAAATTATAAACTCGTTCTCGACGTATGTCCGATGATATACGTCAATGTCTACAACTCCTACGATATATAGAGAAGGAGAGAAAGAAAGAGAAAGAGAGAGGGAGAGACAGAGAAAGAGAGAGAGAAAGAGAGAGAGAGGAATCGTTTCTCTATAGCATGAACGGGGAAAGTGGGACGGTTCTTTTTCGATTTGGTAGGACGGACAATGGACACCATAAATCGCTAAGACGAATATATGTTGTGACGTTTACAAAGAAAGAATGTAACTACGATTCGCAGGTGAATATTAAGTTTAAAGTTTACAGTTATTTTTCTAACACGATATTTTCTATCTATCGAAAAGTGTCATATATTTGTACACGGGAAAAGAGGGGAAAAAAAAATTAAAATTGAATAAATCAAAAGAAGTAAAGGCAAAAATATTACAAAACGTTCGAATGAAATCACGTACAATCGCGATATTAAAATTTAAAATTTCGCGGGTAAAAAGCCGGCGCGATATATCTCGTTTAATTGGTAGAAGAAAGACCTATCGATAATGTCGATTTACGCGGGTGAATTGCGCTTCGATTTGAAAATGGCGGGTTTCCTTCGAAGTCACCAAGATGGCGGTGGGGTAGCGTTAAATAGAGGATATAATACTAGGGACTCTACCACGCCCAATCGTCGTTGTCCGCGCGTCTATCCCTCTCTCGATACTTTCTCTTTGTTCCACTCACGGCGCAGCATGCGCTTATGTAGCGCGTCATCCTTACTCGTCCTCCGTACGTCCTCCCCACCACCACCGGCACCACCACCACCATGACCACCACCATCAGAACCACCAGTACCAGAGTACCAGTACCACCACTACACTACTACCATTACCGCCATTACCACCATTACCACCACTGGTGGATCTCGTCAGTGGCGGCGGCGGTGGCGGCGACGGCGACCGGCGGTGACGGCGGCGGCAACGGCGTCGGTGCATCGCGGTTCACTCAGAGAACGACGGAGCATGCCAGTAGGTTTTTATCCAGCGTACGGTACGGTAGACGGCAAGACTTTTTCATATTTCTACGAGTAAGAATCGTGCCTGTGAGGAGGCGATTTAAAAAGACGATCACGAGGAATTGACTATATCTCTGCTGTCCGTTCATTAATTTAGCCACTGTCGCACGTTCTGTGTTAGAAAGGGAAGGACAGAAAAAGATAAATAAATTGTAGCAGTAGTATCAGTATTAGTATTAGTAGTAGAGTAGTAATATTATAGTGTGACAGTAATCGTCGTCGTTGTTGTCGTCGTCGTCGGCGTAGTAGTAGTAGTGTAGTAGTAGTAGATAGTAGTAGAGTAGAGGTGTAATATAGTGTAGTAGGTAGTAGTAGTAGTAGTAGTAGTAGAGTAAGAGAATTAGATTGGGTGGGGGTGGTGGAGGAAAAGGAATAAAAAGAGAAGGAGGTGTGGTAGTGTAGTGGTGGAGGTGGTGTGGTGGTGGTGGTGGTGGTAGTGGTGGTGGAGGTGGCGGTGGTGGTGGTTGTGCCGGTACTAGTGGTGGTGGTGGACCGCGGTTCGATAACCGACGAATCGCATCATTGCAAACCGGCCTGGACCGCATCGTCGGATACGCGTGCTCTCTCTCCTATCCTTCAAAACACCGAAGGAGGAAAAGAAAGACATCCTGGTAGTTCTTTACTCGTGGTCAAGGCGACACCTAAAGAAAGGATCACTCGGACGACGAGAGTTCTGCCGGTTTAATCGGCTCTCTACAAGCGCACATCCTACGTGCAAATACGAAGTAAGAGAAAGATAGAGAGAGGTGCGCGCTTGCTCACTCTCGTTGGCGGCGCCGGCAGCCATTGCCTTTTCTTCTTCATTGTTTGTCTCTCTCTCTCCTCTCGCACTTACGATCGCGCGCTCCTCTCTGCGTCGATACATTGCGTTATACCGGGTGTACCCGTACGGTACTTCCCCTACCCTTTTTTATTTTCACCTTTCTTCCACTCTTTCTCTTTTATTTCGTTCTCTCTCTTTATTTTTTATTTCTTTCTTTCTATCTTTTTCTATCTCTATCTCTTTTTTCTTTCTATCATCTATCGTTTCATAATTTTCTTTCCGTCGTTTTGACGACTCCGTGTGTCCTTTCGTGTTACACCACGCGAGTTTTAAACGTCGCGACAAGTTTTTAACATCTCTCGTGACGACTCGTGCTCGTTACATACGACTAGCTCAGTCGATAAAACAGACACCCTCTCTCTTTTTCTTTCTTTTTATTTCTCTCTCTCTCTCTCTCTCTCTTCTTAACCACACTCTCCCACATATCTCTCGCAACCATCTCTTTCTCTTCCCCGTATATAAACGCTATGCACGTGCATTCAATACATGTGCGTGACATGCACGTCGGAGCCGGGTTTCTCTCTTTCTCGCTCTCTCTCTTTCTCTCTCACTGTTCGAGTGACGTTAACCTCATCCTAATCTACTCGCGTCCTCTTGAAATCTCGAACGAGAGCTTATATCCGGCGATTTTCTCACGTTAGTTGAATATCCTTCCTAAATCGATGGTTTTCTTCCTTTTCTTTTATCATTAATTTTATTTAAAATAAATTGCAAATTTATTCTCTATCGTATTTCTTTTTAATCTTTTCTCTTGCAGTAACAAATCAATGGGAAAAATACAAACGAATGGGAAAAATACAAATCTGTACTTTTTTTTGTATATATATAAAAACTTTTAAAAAAGATAATTATCATGATCTTTTTTTCGATTTTGATTGTTTCAAGTATTATATTTGAAACATACGAGATAGTAATTTATACGAATAAAAAAAGATCGATCATTTAAGGGTCAATCGTTGATACCCATCAATAGCCTAATTTCGATGGAGTGAGACTAAACTAGCTTGATCGTAAATTTTTCAAAGGTAACAAGAAAAAAGAAATAAGATGGGGTGGATATGGGGAAATATAGATGGTAGGAAGGAGGGATCGGTACGGTCGATTCTTGTCAAACATGGGGATAATGGTTAGGAGAAAATTTATGCGACATCGATATTCGATGAGGAACAATATTCACGAACGAAAATCGATTTTAAATCTTTATTTTCTTTTCTCATATCATTTAAATTTTATTGGATTCCTTTTATGCGTATATCTTATTCACCTATTTATCTCATTCCATTTCTATTTATCTGTATCGTCTAGACGGGAATGATAGAAATCTTTTATATTTTATTGAAAGAAAGAAATAAATTAAGAAAGAGACAGATAAATATAATTAATATTGAAACTATAAAACGTGACTCTAATAAAAATAAATCTTTTAATTAAAATGGAAAATATATTAATATATATAGAAAAAAAGAAATTAATATAAAAATTATCTTAGAATTTATCTAATATTTATCTATATATAAATTTATTTCTATGTAAAAATCTCTAATACAAACGGGAAAAAAGATAAAAAGATATATGTACAATGTGAATCTCAGGACTACTCGTACTATTACCACTGTCTTTTTTAACGTATAAAAAAAAAAAAAGAAAACAAGAAAATTATCATCAACCCACGCTTTCAGCTTTTCGAGAAATGTTAGAAAAAACGAATTTATAATGATAAGATTAAGGTATCCCTTCTCGTGAATAAATATTGCATCTCTTATCTAATCTAATGTTAGTTTGTAATAAAGACTTGTAACAATTATCATTTTCCAAAATGCTTAAAATTAGAGTACTCGTTCAGTTGTAAATTTGTAGTCGGGAACGAGACATCTAATAGTGTCAAAGATTTTTTAATTTATTATTCGTTTTTTAAAAAAGATAAAAAAACAAGATTATGTACTAACGAGTGATATATATATATATATGATAAAATTTCTGTCTTAATTTTTTGCAATGTCGAAAAGAAAAGTCGAAGCATCATTTTTTAATGAGTCATGTAGCAGTAAAAAAGAAACCTGTTACGAGGTTTACAAAAATTTGGATAACAGTGATGAGGAAGAATTGAGATTTTTAAGAAAGAAAAATAAAGATAGGATAGTATCATCAGATTTTCGTTCGAATATTGATAAATGCAATGCCAGTGATAATGAATTTAACGTAGACGTTTTTTTTTTATAACATTTTACAAGAATTTTCCATCGAGGAAGAAAGTGAAATTGATGATGACCGAAGATTCAGTTTAGCGAATGAAATAATCTTTAGTGGTCGATAGAAATCATTTTTTTTTACTGAAACAGTCAATCGAATTAAATAATTATGTAAAAATTATTAGCAATTATTTAGGAACGAAATGAAATGATAACGAAAACTTGTCATTCAACTTTTCCTTAAAAAATTTCAATTGTAAACGTTTTCGTTTTTTCAAGATTGTCACGAAAGAAAAAGCAGGTAAATATAAGAAAAAATATTTAGAATTATTAATTATAAAATTATATTAAAAAGTTATTTGTGAAGATACAAGAAAAGAAAAACCTTGTACTCAACGTAGTCAGCATAATACTGCCGTTCGAAAAAAAAATGCTTCTTAAATAATAACAATTAAAAGCGAATGAAAATAATTTTACTCGAATAATGAACGTCATTCGGACAAATCAAAGGCAAGAAGTAAAAAAATGTAATTTAATGTGATAAGGATTTAAGGAAAAATTCCATTAATTCGCTCGTATACGATATTAATTAAGTAAAGGAAAAAAAATGTAATAACAGATCGTGGATTAATTAAAAACACGGTTTATATATGGAAGAAGGATTGAAATATTCAAGAAATTTCAAATCAAGAGATTAAAAACAATTCTTAGGAAAAATTCCATTAAAATAATTCCGTGCAACGTTTATTTCTTAATTAAACGAAAAAAGAAAACAAATAAAAAAAAAAAACAAAAAAAAAGAAAGAAAAATACCGAAATCAAAGAAACATTTAAAATTCTACAAATCACGTGATTCTAATTGTAAGAAGGAAAAGTTTCGTTAATATTCCGTTCCAGTTGTACAAACAAAAAAAAAGGGACACTACGTATATTGTTTATCGAGTAGGCTTTTCGTAATCCGAAAGAGAAACGTCAGTCCCTAATTTGGAAGTTATGTTGCTTTCATTAGTCCCGTTTTAAATAAGATTCGTACGTTCCTTTAGGGAGAATCCAATTATTACTTATTATCCTTAATCCTCGTTATTATACAATTCCCATTGTAACGAAACTTTTCTCTTAATTAATTAATAAAATATCCTTTATAATTTTTCATTCAACTCTTTTTCCACATCTTTCCCTTTCCTTTCCCCCTCCCCCCATTACTTTCTTATTTGTTATTTTTCTTCTTTTATTCTATCCCTTTTCTCTTTTTGTTCTCATCTTCATCTTCTGCTATTTTTCTTTCAAATTTTTATTCGAAAATTTCGAATCAACTTGGAAAATGATCGTCGCTTCGATAACAACATTCGTACATTATTAAACGACGTAGAATTATGATCGTTCTGACGTAGGAACGATCGTTGTTCGTCGTAGTTCGTCATCGTCTGGTCGGAAGTTATTCGAGATAATTTTCACGTGGGCTTCCGACCTCGTAGACATTTCATTCTCTCTCTCTCTCTCTCTATTTCTCTCTCTCTCTCTTTTTCTAGATAATATACGTACATGCGTGCATACACTAACGTTCCAAAGCTTGGAATTACTACGTAAATCGATGTGGAAGTATTATATTATATTTGTTAGAAAACATGAATTCATGGTTTTTTTTTTTAATTAGCCGAGTGATCATTTGAAATTTTTTTCGATTCGCGGAACTTTCATGAATGTAAAAAGAAAATTCCCATTTTTCTTCTTTTTTTAAACACGACAAATGATATTAATACAATGTAATATATTCAAATAACAATTCGTGAAATTCTTCGGGAAGGTTACGCGTTGTATACAATTTGAAGATCACTGTTTTAAAATATTTATTTGAAAAGTATTTTTTGGCCTTAGGTGATATTAGTAAATGTGAATTTAATATTTAAATAAATTTATAATAATATCTATACGCGCGCGCGAACGATGTTTAACGTATACAACTTTGTATCAGTATAGCAATTAAATGATACGACAATAATAAAAATCGTATATTTTTTTATACGTTAAAATTAATATCATATACTTGTATTGATATATTAATTGACTATTTGACGTATGAAATTTTGTATTAATATCCCATTTATAATGATTTAAAATTATCATCTATTTATATATACCAATATATATATATATACGTGCTTGACGTATAACAACATTCTTTTTTACTACTATTTAATAATACTAAATTATCCAATCACGTGTTTAATTCCCATTACATAAAGCAATAAGCTTTTAAATGATAACTCTATATGTCATGAATTATCTCTTCTATTCATTGATATTGTAATACTGTTTATATACAGTGACATGTGTAATTATTGAAAGAACATTGAAATAAAGAAAATAGAGAAAAAATATAGAAGAAAGATGTTAATATGAATAATTTAGTTATATGGTAATTCGATTTAAAGGAACAATATGAAAATTAATTTGTTAATTTTCGAAAAAGTGTGCAAGCATAATGATAGGGATCATAGGAGTGAAGTTAAGGTCGTGTAAGAGGGTTGATTAAAGAATGACGAGGGGGTTAAGGGGAAAGACGAACGAGGGTGAGTATTTCATCGACTATGGTATATTGAGAGACACGGTGAAAAAGGTTATTGGATTACTTCTGGATATCAGGTGTATCACCCGGGATAGACGCATCGTTATCTTTATCCGCTCGGTACACCTGCTTCGCATATCATATATTTTTATATATATATGTATATATATATATATATACATATATATATACGTTCACTTCTACGTAACGTGTCGCGGGATTCGCTTGCAAAATGCAAATGCGAAAAATAATAATAAATGCGTGCCTTCTCGTAGAATGTATGTGTTATTAGTGTATAAGCGTGTGTGCATTCGTGTAGATAGTTAGATATATGTATATATATATGAGTATATGAAAACGTGACTACGAGGATGCATTTATAATACTTTCACGAAATACGATCCGTTTGTTTTTCCAATATGTTTCTTCTTTTTTTATTTTATTTTATTTTTCTTTTCTTGTCTTTATTTAATTACACGTGTATGAACAAAAATTCTAACGCGTTTTTCCTTTTTATTTATTTTTAATTATTAATTATTTATACGACGAATTTTTTTTTCCTGTTTATTTTTTCTTTTCTTTTTTTCCTCCTTCAATTTATCATAAGATTATTAATCCAACGTGATTTTTCATAGAACGTATTTGTACAAATAGAGATGTATGCGTTTGTATGTATTTTTACTAACGTGATTAATTGTAAGACACGTGTTTACATTTTAATAATATTTTCACGAATTATTAATTGCAATACAATATATATGTTTTTTTTTCATTCTTTTATTATTATTTCTTTCCTCGAACGATCATTAAGGATACGTTTTTTTTTTTTTTCAATGTATATAACATTTAATTTAATTCTAAACGAGGAATTTCTATGTTAATGAACGGTAACGTAGATTTTGACGTCAATCGAATGTTTATTACTTCATGAAATTGAAAAACACGTTCCTACGACTTGTGTAATAATAAGAAAGAAAGAAAGAGAGAGAGAGAGAGAGAGAGAGAGAGAGAGAGAGAGAGAAAACTTACATCATATATGATACTGACAATCGATGAAACAATCACGAATAATCTTATTTTTCTCAGGTAATAAGAAACTTTATCAAGAAATTTCTTCATCCGTCGTTCCTTTTGACGAATCATAAAGGAGAAAAAGAAAAAGAAAAAGAAAAAAAGATCAAGAAATTTCGTCGATGGAATACGTCACACGCTGGTTCATCGTAGAACAAGCAAAGAAACGAGGAAGGTTCTTCGTTATTAGTGATTCTTAGTATCCACCCAAAGGTATATTATCCAGGATATCAAGGAAAAAAAAAAAAGATAAAGTAAAGTATTGAAGAAGAAAAAGAAGAATAATAATAATAGTAATAATAAGGATAAAAATAAAAATAATAATAATAATTCGAAGAAAAATAAAAGGAAGAAGAAAAAGAAGAGGAGGAAGAAAAAGAAAAAGAAAAAAATAATAATAATAATACAAATTAGTTCGTTTTTAATTAATATTAATAATAATAATAATAATAATAATAATAATAATAATTAAAATAGTAATATGTCTGTCTGTCTGTATATGTGTGTGTATGCGTACGTGTGATAAATTATCACAAAATTTGTCTTAAGATTTTAATCAGAGAATAATAACGAGAACGTAAAGTAAAAAAAGGAAATAAAACGAAAACAAAAATTCAATTTGGAAAGAAAAAAAAGAGAGAGAAAGAGAGAGAGAGAGAGAGGGGGTAAAATCTCAAATCGAAATAAAATCAAATCATTTTTAATAAATTTCTAATCGTAAAATAACGAACGAATGAACGAACGAACGAGGGTTTGAGTTTAACGATGCACACACTGATAGTTGTGTTGCAAAAGGTGCATTTAAAAAGGATCATCGTTTGTCGTTGGTGAACGTGAGATGAAATCTAACAAGGGAAAGTGAGAAAGAGAAAGAAAATAAAGAGAAATAAAGAAAGAAAGAGAGAACTTCGAGGAAAAGAAGAAATCTTACACGATATCTAGCCAATAAGAATTCCCAAGCTTTTGCGTGGGCATCATCAAAGGATCTTTCTCAAACGTCACGAAAAAGAGAGAAAGAAAGAGATATAGATAGATAGATAGATAGATAGATAGATAAATAGATAAATAGATAGAAAGAGAAAGATAAGGACGATGAAATATTGTCGGTGAATTTGTTTTTTATTTATTCGCTATATTTTTGTTTACCCTCTTCCTTTTTCCTACTTTTTCTTCTTCTTCTTCTTCCTTTTATTTTTCTTTTTCTTCATCGTCACCACATCATCAGCTATTAAAAATTTATTTCTATATTATTTCGAATCGATCATTGATCACTATTGATCCATGAGGCGAACGAGAAAGTACGATGACCCATCGAGCAAAATAAAAATACACAATTATTCAGAATTAACGAGTAATTTAAATCTAAATCTTTTATCATTGATCCTTTATATCAAGATAAAACCCGAAGTGAAAGTTGGAGATTTGGAAGATTTGATATTAGTGATAATAAGAGATAATATGTGTTATGAGTGGATAATCCATCTTGGATATAGATCGGCCTTGAAAATCACAGGTTGACGAACTTACTTTTCTTTATTTCTTTCTTTCCTTCTTTCTCTTCATCTTTCTCTATTTCTCTCTTTCTCTCTTTTTCTTTCTCATTTTGTCCTTCCTTTCACTCTTCTTCTTCTTCTTCTTCTTCTTCTTATTCTTATTCTTCTTCATCATCTTATTCTTTGTCTATCTCCTTTTATTGAAAGAAAAAAAAAAAAAACGAAAATAAATCCAATAACAAATCTTTTGGCGAATAAAAAAAGAAGATAAAAGGAAAAGAAGAAGAAGAAGAAGAAGAAGAAAAAGGTGGTGGTGTCCTAAGTCAAGGTCATTGATTCCTGTTCGAATATATTTCATCGTTGGAGCTCCGCAGATGGGAATTAGGTTGGCTGGACCCGACGGGGTGGTGAAAATCTTCACGAGAAGAATTAGACACGAGGAAGAAGGATCTAAGAAAGGATACGTTGTTCGAGTATCAATAACGCTTATAGTAGTACCTCTGGTACTACTTTTAGTGTTTCTCGATCCTCGTTATCGTCCACCCTCTCAATCCTCATACCACCGAGCTTATTCTAGCTCACCTTTCTCGCTCCTGATTCGGTCGCGAAAACTCGATCAAGCTGGAATTGATGGAGTTGGAGAACATCGTGGCCAACACTGTTTACCTCAAAGCGAGAGAAGGTAAGAATATTTGCTTTGTTTTTTATTTCTTTTTTTTTTTTTTAATGTATACGTAGCTTCATTTCTCTTTTTTTTAATCCTATCACCATAATTTGGTTTGAATGTATATCTATATATATATATTTTTATTCTTTTCTTTTTATCGAAAAAATGAATAATTTTTAATATATTATTTTTAGATTTCAATTTTGAGATCAATTTTTTATTTTGAAATGTTTTTTTGTTTTTTTTTTCAACAATTTACGTATTTTCTTTTCGTATACATTTATTTTATTGTACAGTCAAATGATTTTCTTTGTGTGTGTGTATATATATAATTTTTCGTTAAAACAAAGTTATGTTTACTTAATTGTTATTCAAACTTCATTTCATTTCGCGAAAAAAATATAAATGAAATATTTTTAATAAAGCCCCTCTTTATATACAAATTTAAATATAAAAAAAACAAAAACTAATAAACGCGCCCCCCCTTTAACAATTATATTTCGAACACTTAAAATCAACGCGATTTCATTTTATATATCATTCTTTTCGTTCGCACCAATTTTGATTGGTCCAATTAATATAATGATTATCTTTTACTTTTTGAAATGCATTCGTAAATGCACGTAAAATTGTTCGTTTAAAATCTAATTTCGTTGACAAATGAATTTATTCGTTATAAAAAATATCGTACGAATAACGAATGACGTTTGTACGATTTGTCTTTTTTTTCTTTTTTTCTACAAAGTAATCGATAATTCAAAATAATATTACTGATAATTCACGAACGAGGAAGTAAACGCATGAAACGTTTTCGTATTCATAATATGATGGACGTTAACGATTTAACGAAATTTGCACGACAAGTTTATTAACGGCAGAAACGATGAATCGATCGATTCGTTGCATTTATTGTCACGCAAATGCAATCTCTTCGTTTTTTAAATTTTTCGATATGAGTTATCTGACATTCGAATAAATCATTTGAAATATCGTTAAAATATATATATATTTTTTTTTGTTTTCGATCGCGATTTGATTGAAAATTATTTCACAATTTGCAAAACGGTTTGAACAATATCAAAAAAAACGTGTTTTTTAATAATTTTTAAAGAGAGAGAAATGATATCAAAATGTTTGATAAAGAAAAATTTTCTTAGAATTTCTTTGGATCGTGTTAAATCAAAATCATGTAAAAATAGAATTCAGGTGAATATTATTTATACTGTTATCATTATTATCGTATATTATTCGTAGACTTAACACATCGATTTAGGAAATAGTCCAAACTAATCAGATTTGCGTATTATTGGCTAGCGAGAAATCGATAATTTGCGATTTAACGTTCGTCGAGATTTACGATGGATTTTCATACGTTTCTCTCTCTCTCTCTCACACACACACACACACTCTCTCTCTTGCTTCTACATTTACATATCCATCTTCGTTCTCGTGGCGTGTCCATTTATCCGTGGAATTTCATTCGAAAGGACTACGAGTTCGAGTTTTCGATGCATTGTGAACACACCACAAACTCGATCTTTCATAAATCGATACAATCCTTTACGTTTTCTTTTTCACCCATGAAATTTATTTAAAAAAGAAAAGAAATATTTCCATCTTGAAATGCGAGATTCTTTTTTTGTCGTATTAACAAAGAAATTCATTTTTATTACAATAAATGTGGAATGATCATATATTTGGTATAATATAATTTACGGGTATATTTTAATATAATTTATTATTATAATATAAGTATAACTTTAATAAATATTATACTTGTATTTAGAAAATATTATAATATCTCTTACTATATAAATAATGAATATTTAAATAATTTATTTTCTATGATAAAAGTATAAAATATGTTTTTTTAAGTTTTATATAAAGTATTAAACAAATTAATTAAAAATATATAATATTTAAATGACAATATTATTAATTAGATGATAGAAAAAAGTTCCCGAGTATACGTTAATTAAAACAATACTTATTCTATCCTTCTTTTTTGTCTCTCTACTAAATCTGACACTGAGTAATAGAAAAAGTTTAATAATTGTTTCACGTGTTGCTTCATTTTATTTTACTTATTCATAGTTAAAATACGTAAAGTGCAGGAAAACTTTGGCCCATGGTCCGTTGTCAAGAAAATTCGAGTACATTCGAGTAATAGATAATAGCATACCAGAAGAGAATGTCCTTTGGGAATAACTTCAACTTGGAAACTTAACCTTTCCAAGAATAAAAGAGGCAAGGTTGGATGGTAAGGGTAAAGAAAGTTGAAACTATTTTATAAGTAGGAAATGGGAAAGTAGTAAAGAAGTAAGAAATAAACGAATTCAAAGTAAAAAGATGCCGTTTTATATTACAAAAAAAAAAAAGGGGGAACAATTTTGTATCTTTTACATCTTTTAAAAATCTATCTCTTGAATAGGATATTATATAACGAATTAATTCTACATTTTTTTTTCTTTTTATTAATTAATAAATATTTTCTTCGCGCGGAACATTATTGTCATTTAATAAAACAAAAAAAATTCGATATATTAATATTAATTATTTATTATTAACACACGGTAATAATAAATATATAATATA